CCGTCGCGGCTTCTAGCGCGTCTTCAGATGGCCTATAAGGTTAACAAACCTTGCTGGACATGACCTAGCCTCCACTCCTCATCTCTAGCATTTATTCAATTTAACGATGAAGACGTGGATGTCACCTACACGCTGAGGTTATACTGTTTTATGGTTGTAGATGACCCATTAATCCCGTTTAACTTGGCTCTCGTCAGGGGATATACTAGGTCCAACTGTTGCATGAAGAATATATATCTCTGGTTGTAAGTATAGGTTTTCTGTTGAATTTTCATGCTTCATGGGAGTCACATAAGCTGTAAGCCTGTTTGCTTACCGGCATCCCTTACTTGTGCCCCTTTATTCACGGTGACTCAATAGAATTGCTTGGACTATGTTGAAGTATGTGATCACGTGACCTTCTAATACATCCACAAAGAGATTAGCGAATGACGAAATCGCCGCGCGCTACGATTCGCCAATCAACGGACCGCCAGAGCGGAGTCATAGCAATTGGACAGTCCGGGGGAAAAGAAAGACCTACTTCTAACATTTTCCCGACTCATTCCTCTTCTGCTTTCCCCATTTCTCTCATCCATTGATCCCGGGAAACTACATTTTCTTCTTTGTTACTCACCGTTCGACCTCTCCCACATACACACCCTTCCGCATATCCCCCCTCTCTATCCATATCTCTCTCTGCCCCGCTCTCTAGCGATGTCGGCGTCAGGATACGGCGCACCCAGCGGTGCCTCGGGGTCGGCGAGCTCCACGAAGAAGCCTTTCCCTCACGTTGATCTGCAGGGCAATGACCTGCCCCCTTCGCCCGCTCCCTCCAGCCCGCACGCCGGTCGTCGGTACAACATTGCCACCGAGTTGGTCTTCACCGAGGGCGGTGACCAGTATAATGCTAGCAGCGTGCCAATTTATCAGGTATGAGAGCAATGCTATCACGGGATGAATGTGGCGGTTTTTATTGGAAAGAAATCCAAATGCTGATATTTCATCTTGACACAGAGTGCTACCTTTAAGCAGACCTCCGGCAGCGGTGGTGGGCAATATGACTACACTCGGTCCGGCAACCCTACTCGCACCCACCTCGAGCGACACTTGGCCAAGATCATGTCTGCACAGCGTGCGCTAGTTGTATCATCTGGTATGGCCGCATTGGATGTGATCACTCGCCTCCTCCGTCCTGGCGACGAGGTCGTAACCGGAGACGATCTCTATGGCGGTTCTCACCGACTGCTCAAGTACCTCTCCACCAACGGCGGCATCGTCGTGCACCATGTTGATACCACCAGCCCCGCGAAGGTCCTGGAAGTGCTGAGCTCGAAGACGGCTATGGTCCTGCTCGAAACCCCCACCAACCCTCTTATCAAGATCGTCGACATTGGCCAGATCGCTACGGCGGCCCACGAAGCCAACCCCAACTGCTTGGTTTCCGTCGACAACACTATGATGTCTCCTCTTCTATTGAACCCCCTTGACCTGGGCGCGGATATTGTCTACGAGAGTGGCACCAAGTACTTGTCTGGTCATCACGATCTGATGGCCGGTGTGATCGCCGTGAACGATCTTGCGCTCGGCGAGCGCCTCTACTTCCCTATCAACGCATCGGGCTGTGGCTTGTCACCATTCGACTCTTGGCTGCTGATGCGCGGTGTGAAGACCCTGAAGGTCCGCATGGATCAGCAGCAGAGCAACGCACAGCGGATCGCCGAGTTCCTCGAGTCGCACGGCTTCAAGGTGCGGTACCCGGGTCTGCGGTCGCACCCTCAGTACGATCTGCACAACTCGATGGCGCGGGGCGCTGGAGCCGTGCTCTCTTTCGAGACGGGCGATGTCAACGTCAGCGAGCGCATTGTCGAGAGCGCAAAGATCTGGGCTATCAGTGTCAGCTTCGGCTGCGTGAACAGTCTGATCAGTATGCCCTGCCGTATGAGCCATGCCAGCATTGACGCGAAGACGCGGGCGGAACGCGCGATGCCGGAGGATTTGATCCGTCTGTGTGTGGGTATTGAGGATGTTGATGACTTGATTGAGGACCTGCAGCGAGCAGTAAGTGTTTCCTTTGATTTACTGACGCGGATAGCACCTCAAAATTGAGAAACAATCTGGCTAACATTGATTTCTCATAGCTTGTGGAAGCAGGTGCTGTCAAAGTCACATTGGATGGCTTCCACGCGGCCCAAGTCGAGTCTTCGTAGGTCTAATTTGTTGTGTGGATTGGGTTCTGGAATCATATCATTGTGTATACGGGCGTTATTCTGGGGTTAATAAAATATCACGACCATATCTTTTACCTTTTCCCTCTCATTTTATGCTTCGTGGTGAGTGTTTATCCGACCAACCAGAGAGAATCGGGCCCGGCACGGGGCCGGCATCGGAGAGCCGCCCGGCCCATTCTCGTCCGCTGCATCAGATCTGCCCGGGCCTTAAAGATTACATCGCGAGTCTCATTTGTAATTGACCCTCATTCATTCGGCTTTGTACTTGCTTTCTTTTCTTCTTTCTTTTTTTTTTTTTGGAGCTGAGCTACGATTTTACATCGGCCTGTTTTCATGCGCCACGCCTCGATATCTTCGGCACTCTCCGATCCCGCATTCTCCATATGAGTATGACTCGCGATGCGGTCGCGCAGGATGCTTCTTTTGCCATGGCCACGGTCTCAGAACGCCCTGTCGCGCGCCCAACACCGCCAGCACCATGCCCAAAGGTAGTTCCAGCTCTGGCGGTAGCGCCTACATGGAATACTCGGGACCTGGGCTTGCGACTCGGCGTCGATGTTGTGAGTGCAGCTTCGGCTGGCGCGCTGACATGTCCGCTTATTACGATTATCGATCGGTGAGATTTTTCTGATATGGCGCGAAAATAAGTATCCCAGACTTGAGATTCTAACAGTGTTTTTTAACATATACAGTGCCATTATCGAAAAGGCATCCAAAGGCTTCCCCATCCGCCAAACAATCACCAACTGTCTTAAGTCCATGATCGCAAAACCAACGGGCTTTTTCTTCAGCACACCCTTCCTACTCATTTATACGCTGTACACCTCCACGTATCTCACCGCAAATGCAATCGACACGGTCACGTCCACTTTCCGCAATCAATCCTATTCCACCGTGACTCCAGGCCCGGCTAAATTCATCTCCACGACAGCCGTCAATATGGCCATCTGCGTATACAAGGACGCGCGCTTCGCAAAGCTCTTTGGTGCTTCACCTCCCCCAGCACAATCCGCTCCACAATCACAAGCACACTCTACCCCATCGATCTCACGCACATCGCTTCGCCCACCGATGCCCTCACAACCCACTGCCGCACCTACCATCCCCAAAGTCTCATATTCACTCTTCTGCCTCCGCGATAGTGTCACGATCTTCGCCTCCTTCAACATCCCCGCACTCATCGCGCCTTCAATACCGGATTTCATCGCGTCTACGCCTAGCATGAAGGCCGCTATGGCACAATTCGCTTGCCCGGCCCTTATGCAATTCTTCAGCACGCCGATGCACCTGCTCGGTCTGGATTTGTACAACAGACAGCCTCCAGGCGGTCTACCATGGATGGATCGCGTGGCGCGTATCCGAAGAGACTATATTTCCAGCAGTTTTGCGCGCATGGGCAAAATTGTGCCTGCTTATGGTGTTGGCGGCGTTGTCAATGTTCGAATGAGAGCTACTCTTATGGAGCGGCTTGAGAAGAAGATCGAATGATGACGTGCCGAGATGCAACGCAGTGTGGCACATGACTGAGCTCAGTGTCATGAAGTTGTCGGGGTTTAATGACCTGATGACCTGATGACTGCGAGGTTTCTTGTTATACTTTCCTTCTTTGTTTCCGGGTGTCATCTCGTCTCCTCTCCACTCTAGACTTATTACTGGGACTTGGGTTCGGGATTTTACTTGGAGTCTTGAGATCTTTGGAGTTCGGCCTGGGTTTAGTACTTTGCTTGGGGCATCTTCTTGCATTTTTATCATCATCTGGCCGCGGCGTTTACTGGGCTATTACTTCTCATTGCGTTTCTGAGCTCCAACATTAGACTGTGTCAAACACTTCGGGTCTGGTATATCGACTGGGGCTTTAGATCGTCATTTTCTTGTCCTGGCTGTTAATGATGGCGATATCAGTATTGATAATCCATTTCTTCATTGAATCACCTCTGAGCATTAAACTGACTCAATCATGCAATTCGTATTCCGCTCTGTCTCCTACATGATGCCATTATTAAGTGGAGCGGTAGATAGTGATGAAATTTAGCTTAACTAGCACTTTTGATCTTTCAAGCTGGTACCTTAGCGTGATTATGATCTGGCGTTGCTCCTTCTCTTGCAGGCGAGATCATCGCTCCTGGGCACAGCTGCCTACACCATGAATTCAGTACTTCAGAACTGTACTTGTCTTGCTGCGGATGCTGTCTACTATCAATAACCCTCCTCTTAAGTGCCATCTGTGGCTTTTTTTTACAATATCTGCATATCCGATGTTGCATGATTCTAACGTCCGGGGCTGAGCCCGTTTCTCTGCCCAACCGGACCTTTTCGGCATGGCGTGTCTCAGTACAGCCTCGACTGGGCAGCCGGAATATTCAGGGTCTCCGTTCATTGCTGGAACTCTATAGGCCTGATATGTCCATACCACAGATCAAAAGTGGGGCTTTACCTTATCTTTTGATCTTGGTGCTTGGCTTTAGTCACGATAATCCTGCTCATTTCATGGCAACGCCCGGAGGTACTCAAGCAGTTTCCAGACAGCCCTAGGATAACCTAGGCCACCTCAGGCTGCAAAGCGTTCTTGTGGACTAATCAATTCGTCGAAGGAAGATTAAATAAGAACATGGTTTTTCGTGCAGAAAATTGCCCTACTGTACATGAAATCCCGCTAGGCGCCACAATTATACTGTCGTATTGTGATCTGCGCCAAGACAACAACCCTAAAAGGCTATCCTGGAACGGGGTTCACGATCCACCAAAAGTCTAGAATAGAAACATTGCTAGTTTGTCAGCTTCGTCAGACCGCCAGACTCCACAGATGTGTCAGGGAATATCAAGAGACGGAAATGTGCCGCGCTCATTCCCTGGGCTTTGTAATGTATGGCAACGAGAGTACAAAACTGCCTATATGAACGACAGGCAGCAAGAAGTATAAGTATGAGCAGGTCTAAAATCAAATCCTTACCTTCAACAAATTGTCACTTTAAAAGATCTCTAGCGCTGATCCATTATCCCGACATGCAATTTTTGACTATGAGGGTGCTCAATGCCCTGGCATTCATGCCCAGCGTTCTAGCTGCCGCACTATCTCCCATCCCCATTGATTCTAGAAGCCTCTCCGATATTTACGCAGCTGCACAGAAGGAGAGCGGTATTCTCCGGGTCGTTCACGGTGGAGATGGTACAACAACGTCCTTTGGCCTCATAGATGTCATCGATACTAATATTCACGTCCGCAGAACTAAACCAAGCTGATGCCTTGTTCGATGCGTTCACGGCGAAATTCCCAAAGATCAACGTCAATCACAGCGTTGATCTCTCCAAGTATCTCGATGGCAGAATCAACCAAGCGTTCCTGCAGAACGAATTGTATGCAGACCTGGCTATCCTCCAGACACAACATGACTATGATGGTTGGGAACATGAGGGGTTGTTGTTGCATTACAAGCCCCCATCATTCGATAAGCTTTGGCCCAGCTTAACCAATGCAAATGGTGCCTATCTACCAGTGTTTGCAGGTAAGTATTTACACACTCAATCTCCAAATGGTCTCAGATGAGCTTGAGGCTAACTGGTGCAATCGAAATGTAGCTAGCTTCGGACCATTCGTCTTTAATGCCTCGGTAGTCCCAACAGCAGACATTCCCAAGTCATACGGAGATATGCTAGACCCGAAATGGAAAGGAAAGATTGTACTGACCTATCCAAACGACGACGACGCCGTGCTATACCTCTTCAAACTCATCATCCAGCAATACGGTTGGGAATGGCTGGACCAGCTCCTCGAACAAGATGTCCAATGGGTCCGTGGAACCGATACACCGTCGGCGATAATGCTACGGGATGAAAACAAGACAATCTCCTTTACCACCTACCCTCCCGCCGAGGGTTGGGTTAGTGTGTCACCTGTCTCCGACCGATACATGAGCTGGACACAGACGAGCGCTATCTTCAAGGACACAAAGCTCCCTGAAACTGCGAAGCTTCTCCAGGCATATTTGATCTCGGAAGAGTTCCAGCTTACCAGGGGTGTTCCATCGGTGCGCAAGGATATTGGAAATAGTACTATTTGGGACTCGGAGACTACGGATTACGTGACTTTCCATCAGTTCATGGAGGATAGAGAAAGTGTCGAGCAGTTGCGGTTTGTGTTTGAGGATAAAATTGGGACTGCGCAGGGGTTGAGCCCGCTTATTGATAATATCTTCTGAGATTGGGGGGGGAATGGCTGGATGCCTATGTAGCCATTTTCTCATGTATATTAGAAGTCGAGGCTCATTCACTGAGATAGGGTCCAGAATTTAAATTTCTGGACAAAGCATAGTGTTTCATTTAAGAACTCATAAATAATGCAATGCTATTTTAGCGAAGCAGTAAACATGAAGAAGGAAATAAGGAGAAATCGCTAAACAGTGTATATGGCGCTAGGTCGGACAGCCAAGCACAAAGTTACCCATCGCATAAGCTATATGTCCAATCTAAAAGCCAACAGCCTCTATTTGACGAAATGCGTGAAGCCAACATTCACAGTAGACGCATTCAGACAGAATCCGAGTTCTTCATCGCGCGTTCCTCTGGGAGTACGCCGTATTGCTTGAGATGCTTCCGAATACGGATGCAAATATAGCTCTGAATACAGTCGATGGTGCTGGGGAGTAATCTGTCAGCTTCGAGTCTTGAGGACCATTACACGAGAAAGTCCTTTACCATAGAACCAATGCCAGAAGGATGATAATGACACCCAAAGCCCGACTACTCGTACTGTGTGACGATGAGACCCCTAAAATACTGATGATAAATAGTGCGAACCAGAAAACCGTGTCGATAATGGTGAGGATCTTGTTGGCTTTGGTATTTCCCCATCGTTTGAAGCGATCCACGTGCCCTGTCACCATTTGATACGACAGTGAGAGTGCAGATTTTAGACACTGTTAGATGACGTGGCATTAGCTTTATCTTCATAAACGGCATGCCGTCTAGCACACTATTGAAAGCCGATCGAAATCACTTACCACTGCAATTCCCCATGTATTGACTCTTGATGACGGCGTGCCTTTGTTCGCGACGCGCGCAATGATGAGGATGAACGTAAGAGCTACAAGAGAACACATTGCTATGTCCAGTCGCAGCTTGCTTCTTGAGGTTGCTTGGATTGGGAATTTCATCTTGGATTGAGTTTATGTTGAAAAATTGTGCGATGTGTTGAACAAAACCATGAGAGATCGATGAGGATTTAAACATCTGAATAGTTGGTATCTATCTGCCTAGTTGGCGCCTGTGGGAGACCTCCATCTATAAATTCGTATATTTTTCCTATTATGGCAATGCGTCTCGCAGGCAACAGCTTTAACAATCGAAGCCAAAATCTGCGAGGTTGTCTGAGACTTAGCATATAAACGTTGCTATGATTTGCACTATACTCGTATTCGTATAATCGTCCCGGTTGGGATCGCCACTACCCAAATCTTGGACATGGGTGATTATCATTTATTCGTACCAGTATAATTGAAATCATCCTTTCTATCCGATTTTGCGTTATAGTCGTGCCTATCTAGGAGTAAAAGAAAAAGACTATTCTATGTGACGCCCACTCAATTCAGATTCAATAATTCCCTCCAGCTTCATAATGATTGGCTAGCATCTCAAGATCTTCCGTCGTTTGATAACCCTTTTCGCGCAACATTTTACTCGGATGAAAGACAACGAGAACAACGCAACAGCCAAGCATGAGAGCTGCATCGAAGACATAGACAAATGCTTCTTTGCTTTGCAGATAGCCACCGCTCCCCTGCGCGTATTCAATCACTCGATAGATCGAGCGGATCATGATCAGGCAACTAACAATGTACAAGACCTTCATACACCGTGCCCAGGGGATACCTGCTCCCCCAACGTAATTCATGGGCGAAGCGAGCATTCGTCGATGGAAGATAACCGAAACAATTATAAAGAATCCGAAGAAGAATATTTGGACGAAGAGACCACCGAGGATCATGTGCTCGCCCATGTTCACATTGTCCTGAGTCTTCGCGCTGGCAAGGAATCCTCCTCCTATTGAGGTTGTATCAGTGCAGGCTCCAAGTTTGGTTATATGCAGAGGGCAAGGAGACCATACCTCCACATTGCATGAAGAAGGAAAGAACATCTCCAATCACGAAAATTTTCGTCAGCCATGACGGCCGAATGATTGAGTTCGAAGTCGCATTCAGAGCCACAATAAGCCGTCCCAGTATCATGTAAATCGAGGCAGCGAAAAGGGCAGGGGCAAGAAGAATAAGGAGGCTCTGTCCGATATAGGGCGTGGTTTGCCAGTCTGGGGTTTCCGTTGAATTGATGTATCTGCACAAATAACCGATTGCCTCGACTGAGGTGAAGAGATCGAGATATCAACCAGATGCAACTTCAAGAGTATGAAAATAACTCACAGACACCACCAATTGTAAACGGTATCATGAACCAACTCCGGGCACGAATCATCTGCACGATATGAATCACTGTTGCCAGCCCAAAAAGAGCAGCAACCGGAATGGCAGCGGCTCCAGAAGGATCATAATTGTACAGTTTGTAAGCCATAACTTTGAAGGAGAGAATAGAGAGAATTGAACAAAATAAAACGACGATTAATGAGAGTAGCGGCGAAAGCGATTCGCATTGAAAGGTTCCTAGGTTCACTATACCTTTATATCATTCTACAATGAAACGACACAGCTTACAGATCCACACTAGGCAGCAAGCCCCATTGACCAGCTGGAAAAAGCGTGTGATACGAAGAATACTAACCTTCAGATACTATCGATCTGACTACTGTCTCGGGCCACTCTAGATCTTAGTTGACATGAGGTTTCATTGGTCGGTAGTCTATCGCGGGGTTCTCTAAGGAATCCCTTGGTATATTATAAAATTTGTCCGCCGATAATAGGTTTAGCTAAAGGAAAACCCCAGTTACGTAGAAAATTTCGAATGGTACTACTTTTGAAGCCCCCTCATTCCACATTGGGACAAAGTCACGAACACGAGCAGACGGTCGCAAAAATAGTGGCGCACACCCGACGCCCCACTTCAGTTTTCCTGAAAAGGAGCATGAAACGAGTACGAGTCAAAATATGCTTGAGCACCAGGGATATACGTACCCCTAACTTTGAACGTCTGTGGAGTTGAATTTTGAAACTAGTAGATTTTTTTTGGCCTTGTCGGTGGCTTTCCGCTTGATCGTCAGATATAAAGACTGCTGATACATCGGCATTGATGTCAATTGTAAATTTCGCAACATCCAGCCCCTTCTTTACTATCTCTTTTCTTTTGGAAGCCATATAGAGAAATACAAAGCAGCAATGGATTTCGTTTTCTACTACTATCATCCGTCTACTGCAGCGGCTGTCATATTCACCGTTTTGTTCGGGCTGAATAGTCTCCTGCATCTCTATCAGCTTGTGCGAACAAGAACATGGTTTATGATCCCCTTCGCGATCGGTGCAATTTGTAAGTCCAGAATACAATTGCTTGCTCTTGAGAAAGTACACTGATAAAATCGTCTCTTTGTAGTGGAAACTATTGGTTATATTGGACGTTTGCTTGCATCATTCGAGGCACCGGACTTCACCAAGGGGCCTTACATCATGCAAAGTGCATTGGTCCTGATTGCGCCCGCCTTCCTTGCTGCGAGTATCTATATGACACTCGGACGTATTATCTATATGCTTGAAGCAGAGAAACTCTCTGTCATCAGAATTGGATGGCTTACCAAGCTCTTCGTCACCGGAGACGTGCTTTCCTTCTTGATGCAGGCCTCAGGTATGTACACTCCTACAACCATGATTCCGCCTATGATGCGCGTGAAGAATGCTAAATGGAATGACTTCAAGGTGCTGGACTTATGGTCTCAAACTCAAATGACCCCTCGACCGGCGAACATATTATTATTGGCGGTCTCTTCGTACAAATCATCTTCTTCGGCCTTTTCACCATCACTGCCATTGTCTTCCAAGCTCGCATCACCAAGACCCCGACTACCCGCTCTATCGAGTTGAAGGGCCTTTGGAACCGCCATATGACCGCTCTTTACGTCGCCAGTATTTTGATACTGGTTCGCTCCGTTATTCGCGTGGTGGAATACCTGCAAGGCTATGATGGATATCTTATGAAGCATGAGGCCTTCATCTATGTCTTTGACGCACTCCTGATGTTCATTACTGTGCTCTTCCTCCAGTATGAGCACCCCAGCGAGATTAATTGCTTGATTGGTCGCAGTCACAAGTACTCGGAGAAGGTTATTTGGATCCGCGAGTTTGTTCCCGCCTCCGCACTTGAGCTGGGTCGGGCGCGAGAAGTTTGAGGAAGAAGTTTAATATGAAGATTTCCGGCGTGAGGAAATCAAATGATAATTTATGACCCCTGTTGGGTAAGAATCTTTTTAATAATGTAAGCGTCTGTAAATGTTTACTGAATAATCATCAATCGTATCCAAAGCTCATCGCTGTCGACATGAATCATCATCTCAATACTTGCACCACTGCCCATTTTATGTGGCGTTGCCAGTCAGCATCTAAGCTGAGCACTAATTCCCCAAGGATACGTCGACCCCACGATCCAATACACCAGTTTTCTCGAGTGATGTGCAAGAACACACAAAAATGTGCAAGCACGACCAAAGCCAAAGGTTCGCGGTTTTTGAGCCCTTCCAAAAATGCTGGAGGTGCTCGAATAGCCCACCCACCCACAAGGGTCAATGAAGTTGGCTCTGCATAGGTAAAAGAAGCCAACTCTTTCATTGTGCCAATCGCGAGCTCGTAGGACTTTGCATCGTGGCCCTCCGCTTGCTGACCATACTGAATATTTAAGTCGCTGAGAGTATTGAGTGCCGCAAGCACATCGTCAGGGACGGTCGCTCCGGGATTGGCAATGTCAAAGAGAGGCGCAAAATTGCTGTTTCGAAGAAACTTCATTGCTTGATTACCCACTGTTTGAACTCCACGAGCCAACATCAAAATATCAATCAAGGCATTGAGACTAGGTCCGTCGTCAAAGCCGGAGCAATGAATTGCGCTCGCAAAGCTGAACACGACTGCAATCCCTGCAAAACTCATCATTGCTCTTGCATTGGATTCGTCGATGTGATGCAACTGTTCTGAGAAAAGAGCCAGTGCCGTGCTCTTGTGTGCGATCGCAATACTGATCCACTCTGCTTGGCGTTCATCCTTACAAAGACAAGCAAGATGCAATGCAGAGATAGCCAGAATTCCGTGCATCAAGAACGGACTGCATAGTGCCTCTTGAAGCACTGGTATCTCCCATACCTTTCTTGTGTCTTCATCTCTTGCAAAAAGCTTATGTGTATGCGTGATCCACTGGAGCTCAAGCTCTAAATGGGCCAAGTTCAATGGAGAGGCGCCATAGCTATTGACGGGGCTGCTGGTCTCAGATGAAGATATTGTATCACGCGTAATCTTGGGCGACGATCTTGCCGACCTCTCCGATTTGCCCGCAAACACGAAGGGGGCCGGGGCCATGTACACGCATGTGTCATTACGCTGAGTGCAATTTTGGCAATATGGCCGTTTCTCGTCACACTGACAGAGTTATTAGCATGTCAAGTCCGATACAATTCGGGTTGTATTCAACAAAGATGATCGCATACTTTCACTCGTCTTCGCTTGCAATTGCTACATCCATGACGTGATTTTTGATGAGAGCGGCGCGTGGCCATATCTTGCTGGAACCGTGTTCAAAGATACAGTGGCTTTGTACCCAGTATTCGTACTCGTGTGAGACACAGAAAATTCTGCCTAGGGGGCAATGTTCGAGACTGTCGACGGGGACTGAGCCATATGTAAGGTGATACTGGGGGTTGTCCGTCGTACGTCGGCAAGGTGATCCGAATGGGGATAAAATCACGAACACGAACGCGAGCCCCACTTTTTCTTTTAGAGTTTGAGTATTGAAAATCTGGGTGGCATTTATGGATATTAATCAGCCTGGAATCTGTTCCTAGACTTACCACGACGTGGAGTGTAGTCTCTAAAGACCCTTATTTGATTATATTTGAAGGTTGGTTCTCAGAATATTTTCTTTGATGTTCTTTCTCCCCACCTACAGCAATGCGCATATCTGTACAAATCCCAGTTCTTACTGCCTAGGGCTTTAGCACCCTAGGGCTTCGTCTCTACCGTAACTGGTCCACTACGCAGCGACTGAATATCATTTTGATTGTTTAAAGCTGTAAATACTTGCAGGGTAGAAAGGCTGTCAACCAGGTGGGAGAGCAAAGCACGAACTCCGATGATAATAGAGATCGTTTCTTTAGGAGCTTCACACCCGCTTCTTAAGCATTAGTCTACATATAGAGATCAAACCATATAAACGCGGTAATAAGGAATGTGAGGCTCGCGTGCGATTGAGGATTGGCTCCTTTTGAGGTGCCACTCGTATGATTATCATTTTTGCTGTATAGAGAGGAGTTCGACTCGAAAACCTGATCTGACGACAAGTTGCAGATGAGAGAGGACACAGCATCCAAATGAAGTAGCCAATCGTGCTCTGCACCACGAAACACCTGAGCATGATATTAGAATAGGCACAGAATTAGAGATTAACCCAGAGATATCGGGCACACTTCACAACTGATTAAAATCAAGCAGCTTGCCAGAAACTCTGTCAGACAAGCTTTGTTTTCAAGCGGCTTTTGCAAACTCATGAACCCACAAAGTTCACGGAGAGCCCTTGAGTGCTTAATGAAAGCTTCCTCTTTTTTTTTCGTATTCATCTTCACTTATTGCAGTCTGATGAAGCGAGGAGAGACTTATGGCGGCGTGATACAATGGGCCACGCTTGGCCATGAGCAACAGAAGCCAACCCCGATTTCCGATTTGAGAATAAGAGGAGTGATAAGGGAATTGCCACGGAAAAACTTCATCAAGGTAATGCATAAATAACCACGCTTCTTGTGAATCAAAGATCATATCGTTTGAGATGGGGGTTTCTCCTTGTGACCTAGGATGTTCTGCTCCTGTTTCCACGGATTTAGTAGGGCCGAGGTCTTGCTCCGCATTTTCAGTACTGAGTTTGCAAGTTTCCGCGTCATGCATAGAAAGAGGCCCAATAGAAGATTGAAGTGAGGAATTAGCTGCATCTTTTTCGGTTTCCTGGTCACGAATAGTCGTTGGAGACGAGACTTGAGAATGATCCTTGTCCATACGACGCGCTTGATTCTGCATTTTTCGGACAAGCCGAAAGTTCTTTTTCACTGCAGCTTTGATACGAGAACGTTCTTTTTCCTCTTCAAGGCCACCATCGAACCAAGTTGGCTTGGGCTCATACCCGTGGCAGTGGACCTTTCGGTCGCAACATCCCTTACAGAGTGGTGTATTCAGATCGCATTTCTTGTGTCGTAGGCGACAGGTCCAGCAGCCGAGCACTGCGGCACCCATAGGAAGTGATCCGAGACGTTTGGATGACAAATGAATTTAGATGCATTAGGATTAAGATCGTTGGTGGGACTTTTTCCTTGAGTCGACGCTTGACTACGGAGTAATGTAAGTCCCCCTCGAGTTAGCATCACCAGAGGATGCCAAACGCCTTGGTGCCTTGGGCTTGACGGCATCTATTCAGCCCGTGCATGCAGACCCATCCATTCTCAAGGCATGGCCACGGCTGCTGGGAGAAGAGCGCTGCGAACGCGCGTTTGCTTACCGCGAGTTTGCTGATGCAGGCGCTCTTATGGCAATCGGAAGCGATAGCCCGACATCTCCTTGGGCCCCCTTGGAAAACCTCTATGTTGCAACTACGCGTCATTCATCAAGAAAGCCAGAATACAAAGAGACTGTGAACCCCCATTTCCGTCTCGGCATGTGTGAGGCCATTGTCGCTGCGTCTGGTGGGGCCGCCCGGAGTGTTTTCGCAGAAGACCGAGTGGGCACGTTGACGAAGGGCAAGCTGGCGGACTTCATCGTTTTGGACATGTCCTGGGACGCGAATACTCTCCTAAGCGCTAGCGTCAAAGAGACTTGGTTTGGAAGGAGGAAGGTTTGGGGCTGATGAAAAGAATTACAGCTTCCAGAAAATTTATATCGAAATCTACGCCGGTCAAATCCAATGCCACAGACAGTATCATGCATAGCATCATTCTCACTCAGCTAATTATACACAAAAAATGTTACGGGACCGATTCAGTAGGATGGTAGTCTTTTCTTCTTGTCATCAACTTTTTAAGAGTGGCCTAGATATACACACAAAAATGATAAAGTTCGAGCAAATTTCAGACCAGCAAATATTGACCCTGAATATGATCACCACCTGTGAAGGGACAGTCAGCCAAGAAACTTTGCGATTGCGAGAAATAGAAACATAGCTTACGCAAAAGGTTCTGAGTGCAGATACAACTCCTCAACCTCACCACCAAGCGTGCTCTTCTGCGCAAGGGCCGCGGCATTTCGGGTATCGTGAAGCATAGACGCCGGACCACAAACAAGGACACCAATTCGCTGCTTTTGGGTTTTCGGCATGGGGTTTGCGTGAGCAATAGCAACCGCTCGAGCGACGAGACTAGGAATGTCAGGTCGAGAGTTTCTATGAATATTGAGACAGAACGATCCAGTCGTTCTGATATCTGTTTGAGGTAACTTATCCCCAGTGCCCTTCTCCGAGTCTAAAGTTGAGGTCGAGCGAGTCAAACCGTGGTTCGAGGTAATATGTACCGAGACAGAAGTCTCAAACCCGTTGTCTGAGCCTGGCAAGGTAGTAGTGTGCGCGAGACGCGCTTCAATCTCGCCGATGTACCAATCTGCCATCGGGGCGTCGCGTGTTGAAAAGACGACTTGAAGCCGGCAGCGGCTTTCCTGTCCCGACTCGTCTTCGCCCGTGTTAATGCCAGACATGCGCAGCGCTTCGTCTACCATTGCAAGAGAGAAGCCACCACCTGACCCTCCGGCTATGACGAGTATGGTGTCAAAGTGGGACATATGATGAGTACTCACGCCGCCATACGGCCCCTCGATGAGAATCTTCTTCGTCACACTAGGTTGTTTGGCAGCCAATGAAGCAAGACGAGCCGTTACGCCACGACGAGGCTTGATGTAGAAAACAAGCTCGGACACTTTGCGTGTCTCACTCCGGTCTCGATTGACCGAGGAGATTGTGAATGGATGCGCGGTAAGCAGATGCAAATCTGACGTCAAGAAACGCACAAATACGTGCTGGCCGGGTGTCCATTTGATAAAGGTCGGAACGGAGACTCGGACAAGGCCACTTGGAAGAAGCTCCAAGGTTGCTGTGTGGACGCCATGCATCATATAAGTGCGCACCTGGGAAGAAAGTAGACAAAGGAAGTAAATGACACCGCTGGCGATAAAGTAGTCCCACGAGGAGAGACGAAAGTCGCAGTGAAGGAAGAAGAAGATCATGAATAGAATGGCAGCAATCATATGGGTTGCCTTGAAGAACTCGTAGAATCGGTTGCGAATGAACGGAAGAGACAGGATTGTCAGGTACGCCTGGGGGATAATTGCACCAATACCGGTGAAGTATACAAGACTAGTCTTCCATTGCTTTACCATATCTCCCTTGTCAATATGGTATATGATGAATGGGAAGGTATGAACCAGAGCTAGCACAAACATAGCGTAGCTGGTCCAGTGATGGAAGACTTGAAGCTTCTCATGGGGGATACCGGTTAGGGCAGAGATTATATTGGCCTTGACACTTAGACCCCTGATTTATATTAGTACCTTTGAAGTTCCGCATAGATGAGCCCATTGCTTACAGGACAAATGGCAGCAGAGCAAGAGCCATCCAGCCAGCCCTTGTGGCTATGGGTGGACTACTTCCGTAGCTAGCATCGGTGGGCCAGTAGAAGGGTTTAGGACCGAGGGTCATGGCTACCAATGAAGTGTTAGATTCTGTCTTCTCCGTCAAATTGGAAGCTTTTTTCATACCGAAGAAGAATATTGTACCCACGACGCCAAGCAAGATGACACCCAAGGATGGGGACCAATACTTCAACATCGGGGATCGATAACCCCGATAGGAGATATACCGGGAAACCGAGGTGGTTACTCGCCATAATCGAGTGCGCTTCAGCCGGCCCGGACAATTCCTGACGAAGAGATTCGACATGGCAAAGAAAGCAATCACTGCACAGCAGAAATATACCGTGCTCAGGCCATATACATGGTCGGCCTGATACCTGCGGTCATCCAAATACAATTAGTATCTTTTTAAAAGCACAGCCAGATAGACTAAGTGGCGCTGTTTGGAATGCATACCAGTATCTCCAGCGATTATTCCGATAAACACACTGGGCTTCAGATAATTTGCATATATCATGACGAGACGAATGTAGCATTACAGGTTGATCGAGCCAGGGGACACCACCACCCGACATGTCCATGTTCATGTTCATCATGATGAACTAACTAAACAACCTGCCTCAGCTGCCTCGCCCAGATTCAACAATTTTTGATGTTGAAGAAGCAACATGAACAATCAAATGAAGCCGAGCAAGCCACAAGATCGTTGTGATGACCAAAGGGTGGAATGACGGAAAGGTAGAAAATGGAGCCGATCCGCGTGTTAAAGCTTGGCAGCGTTGAGGCTCCGAAGGCATCGGAGGAGGCACGCTTTGCCATCTTTTGAGTCGTTTGGTCACTCTGTTGCAATGCCATTGAATTCATGTCATCCATCGGATTGCAAGGGAGGGCAGGTGGGCCGAAAACGGCAATCTAGCAGTCGTGGCAGGCGGACCGGGGAACGCAGCAACCGAACGGTATGAACGCGATACCCGATGATGGAATTCTCCGTGTCGATCTGACGTGGTGATCTGCGCCAAATTGCGCAAATTGAAGTGCATTCGACCAGCCCAGTTATTGTATTTTCTAGTTTTCTAGTACAGTTAGTTTGCTGGACCTTCCTTTCCACCATTCAGTTTAATCAAGTCTAGTCACTTCAATTCTGACGCTGCGGTTGGACTTTAAAAAATTGATCATACAACACGCAATACTTGCTGGAAACGCCATGGCTGATAAGAATGCTGGCATTTGAGCAAATTTGCGCGCGATTCGCAAATTACCTGGGTCATCGTCGGCGCTAGTGATCGGTGCGCACTCTTTACTTGGCCGTGCTGGGTAATCCCATAGACACTATCCTTCCGGGCGCATCAAGAAATTACGTCCGCGATCTCGATGACGTTCCTTGACGTCTAAAGCCCCATACCCCGCGAATGCAAGGTTGTAAGTTCATAGAGCCTACTGTACCTTGTGCTGGAGTGGATCTGGGATCCATGGTGGTAGCAAGCTTGTGAGCGAGGAGCGCCATTGTCGCGAGTCTTGATGTGGCCGGTTCCCTAGATACAACGAGGGACCAATATTTTTTTTTCAGGGGCCATAGGTACAGGAACTGTGTCAAAGTCTAGAAGGTGGTATATTTCTATCGAGAATCCCCTCGTTACCTGCATTGAAAATCTTCTATTGGGAAGCGACGAATATGCAGAGGGCGTATCCGGTCACATAAACTATGTTAATTTATGTCGGGCCTCGAGTAGAAAGCAGGACAAATAGCAATAAGAAGGTCTCAAAGTGTCTAAACGCAGCAATTATTTACAAAACTACGGGCCCAGAACTTGGCCATCCGATGTCAGTCTCGACAAATCTCATAGCCGTCTCCAACCCTACATTCCTGCATGCAAGAACGATGACAATCCTCATCTGCGCAGATCATCCCACAGTTATTCCCGCTATGTGAGATCCCCGCGCTTCAATCAAGGATGAACCGCTGAAACAGACACCGTGGCTGCAATAGGTATCTTTCCCGAGGAATGTGCCACCGATACTGACGCCCCACACCTGGCAGTCTCGCTCCCAATGTCATACATCCGCAGCGCACGGTAGCCTCCAAGCACACTATCCGCATCAAGGCCCTTAGCCCGAAGTACGCTGGTAGCCACGCGTGCCGTATCTCCATCATAGCACAATACTAGGACATGATATGAAACAAGATCCGAGACCAGGCATTCGTCTCCAAAGATCTGCTCCAGCTCCAACCATTGCGCCTCAAGTACGGCTGGATCTGAAAACGGCGATCCGGTGTGGGGGCTAACACTGGAGAGTGGCACATTGATTGATTCTGGAAGGTGCCAGGCCTGGAAGTCTGCAGTTTGACGGAGGTCGAGGACTCGGCGCAGTGGCTTTAGGGTGATCTCGCTGAGTGGTGTCTGGTTAAGGGGTCGCGGAGAAGCGTAGACTTTTGGGAGGACCTCGAAAGCGTCCCGCTCCCAGGCCTCATCATATCGATGAAGGTCGACCTTTGTCAAACGCTTTCCGGTAACAAAATATTAGCGATTTCTGGAAGGAATGGGAAACCACGATCAAGCGGGGATCTTGGATGGGGTCTATGACGCTTCAGCGACTCGGGGAAACTTACCTCGTTGCGAATGGGCGGGAATTCCTTAGCCCCAAGCTTCTGGAAGTATTCGCCAATGTACTGGTATGGCAGATCACAGCACAGGAAGACGCAGTGCGTAATCCCGTCCGAGCCAGCCAGATCAGACAGCGTCCCCGCAGACTTGCGCTTGGCCAGCATCTGGAACAGACCTTGCAGGTTGAATCCAGATGATGGGCCACATACCAGTCCCTCACGGCACAACTTGAGGGAAAGACTGTACGAGTCAGAAGAGCCAACTTCTTCAATTGCATCCACTGCTCCTTTCCAGGGGAACTCCACAGGGCGCATGAGCGCATAGGATCGGGGACCAGGGACCCTATCGCCTGCGGCTGTGCAAACCCCGAGTCTCATAACGGAGGGCTTCACACCCTTGAAGTACGTTCCCAGGCCGGTCATGGTGCCAGAGGTACCCATACCGGCACATAGGACGTTGATCTCAGGTAATTGCTGGAAGATTTGAGGGCCAGTCCACCGCGAATGCGACTGCCAGTTATCGTTATTTTCGTACTGGTTGGGATTGACAATGTCGTCAGATTCCTGGGCCATACGACGGGCACTTTGAATGCCGCCACGGTCATCAGCGGGTTCTGGTTGTGACGGGCCCCCGAAGAGTGTGATATCCAGACCGAAGAACTGCATCAACTTCAACTTGGCATCGCTAGTCTTGTTGCTCAAAAATGCCCGCGTATCCTGCACGCCATGAATCACCCGAGCAATCATCGACATCGAGATCACCGTTGAGCCAGAGCTATATTCGATGATAGTTTTTGTCTGGTTTGGAACAACGCTTGACTCGAGCATATTCAATGCTGTTCTACTGTTAGTGTTCAATGGCATATATCTGTCCGTGATAAAGTCTCACCTGGCATGGCCTTGACATTGTTGGCAGGGTGCATGGTCATCATCTTGGCATAAATTCGAACGCCATCTTGGTAAAATGGATTCAAATACTCCGGAAGCTCAATCAGAGGTAACGGAGGCTGACAGTCCGGATCAAAGTACTGCTTCAGGGAGTTCGGCCCGAAGTATACATTGCGCTCATTTGATTTTGCCATTGTGGTCTTTTGCAGAGGGTCAATCGTGTTGCTGACTCCAACACCCTTATCTAGAGGACTGAGATCCGAACACTCGATCTTTGACTGTAAGCAATATCAGGTGCGGAAATTTGGTGGCAGATATAGTTCCCTCGCGGCATCACATCAGGGCTAGTCTTCATCCCGTTGCGTCCGCTTGGCACCCAGAAGGTAGAAGCCACGCGGGAGAAATGAGATTTGCCAGATTAGACCCGCCGAGTTAGATCATCGGGCAAAGTGAGCAAGTATACGGAGTACAGGTCTACAGCTAGATGTTTGTGAATGTGGGGGCCTAGACAGCCACACAACGCTGAAACCGCCAAAAATGCCTCTTCTCGGTTACGATGAATGAGGCAGGAAAAGGCGCGATCACGAAGATAGCCGGAACTTCAAACTCAAAATATTGTCAGCTAGCTAGATTGATATCACTCATTGCAAGCTGTATGTCTCAAAGTCCGAGCGATGTACCTCGGAGACCCTGATCGGCTTTCGGTGGTGGATATCATCAGGTCAAATATCTGGGACCAGGAACTATGAAAACGGCAGGATCACCAGCGGTGCCCGCATTACTAGTGGGCCCACCGTCGCATGCTCGATTCGTTTATGGGTCTATTCTTCCAGGAAAATGGCCTCAAATCTTCGTGAATCCACTCATGCTCCGTGTTGTTCTCATGCAAGTCTGCCGTCCGGCGGTCTTGGCTGTCAGTTTCCTAGGACCCTGGGGAAAAGGTTTAGCTTTTCACAATACTGAAGGTCCTTGAACTCTAACAAAAATTTCGAATAATTCTTTAAACTTTCGGACACATTATCTAGTCAAATTATGCAATAATAATATAGTTGCTGTATCTTTTAGGGTTAGCACCGGGTACCTTGAGAGTGTTTGAGCAAGTTTCATACTTCTTCGGCTGCAGATCGGCGGCTGTCAAGGTTGCTCCCGGCGATCCTTGTCTTTTTAAGTAAATTGAGTGATCAAGTGGATTTAGTTGCAATGTTCGTTCCGAGGGTATCTAATGAGTGCCACTTGGAGATATGGTCAGTCGGTTAGCTGTTCTAGCTGATAATGGGCTGTCCTCCGTGTAATCTCTGAATTCCATCTCGGCCTTACTTTCCAACTCATTTCATGAGGTACAGTCTTGCGCCGCCTTGTTTTAAGGTGACTGTGCTATCGAATAGTTGGCCCGTGGGAGTATTCACTATATTCACTACCAAGGTAACACGCGATGACCGGAGTACTTGAAAATCCAGCAGGCCATTCCAGCCCCGAGAGCTTGGAGGTTGATGTGGCAGACAAGAATGGGACCCATGTGCTCTTCAACGAGCAAACAAATTATGTACCCAAACGTACCATTATCACTGTAAGTCTATGTCAAATCAATCTTCATCGCGGTTGTATGGAGGAATACTGTTGACAGCTTGCCGTCGCAATGGAACCTTGGGGGAAATTCAGCTCTAATCGCGCTTAGATCTTTTTGGCCTGCTCCAGCGTCGATCTGCTGGCTCTGATGGACCAGACGATGCTGGCATCGTCTCTCTCCATTATTGGGAATGCATTGGGTGCCAGTGATCAGACATCCTGGATCTCGGGGGGTTACTTTGTGTGGGTTGCCTAACACCAATGATTCTTTTCAGCGGTTCGAAATATGACAACAAAGCTAATCAGCGACCCCATGAACTAGAACATCGACATGCTTCCAGCTCCTCTATGGCAAGCTTTCTGATATTTGGTCGCGAAAAATAGTCTTGTTCGTTGGTCTTGCCATCTTCTTCATCGGCTCGCTAGCGGCCTCGCTCTCCCAAACAGTCACCCAGCTCATTGTCTTCCGGGCATTGACGGGTGTTGGTGGTGGCGGGCTGATGACAGTCGCGCAGATGATCGTGAGTGACGTCGTTCCTCTACGTGAGCGAGGTAAATATCAAGGCATCCTCGGCGCTGTCGTTGCCATTGCGAATGGCATTGGCCCTGTTATCGGCGGTGCGCTGGCGTCAATCTCGGAGGATTCATGGCGATGGATATTCAGGTTAAACCTACCATTGACAGCACTGACCACGCTATGTGTACTCTTCTTCATGCCTTTGAGGAAGGTTGAGGGTGACTGGCGGCTTAAACTAAAAGCGGTAGATTTTGTCGGTGCGCTGCTAGCTCTGGGAGGTACTTCAGTATTCCTGCTGGGGTTGAATTGGGGAGGTGGCGAGTACGAGTGGTACTCGGCACATGTCGTTACGACTTTAGTCGTCGGATTCGTCATTTCAGGTGCATTTGTTGCATGGCAATACAAGGGTGCAAAGGTGCCGTTGGTACCGATGCACATATTCAACAGCCGAATTGTCAACGGATCATGCTTGACTATGTTTGTCAATGGATGGAACTTCCTGGTCCAGGTGTACTATATCCCTACCTTCTACCAGCTGGTCTTTGGATATTCCACAGTCGTCTCGGGAGCTATGTTGCTTCCAATCACGTTGATGCAGAGTAGGTTCATGTTGTTCTCTGCCCCTGTTGCTGCCCCTGTTGCTGCCCCTGTCGCTACCCACGTACTGATTTTTGTTAAATTCCCAGCCGCTAGTAGTACTCTCTCTGGACTTGTTGTTCACTGGGTCGGCCGTTACCGGGAATGTATCCTATTCGGCTGGATAATCTGGGCAGTTGGCCTCGGGCTCTTCTCTACACTGGATGAGTCCTCTGGAATAGGGAAGCAAATCGGATACGGCCTTTTGACAGGAGCCGGTGTTGGAAACACATTGCAGCCGTCTCTCATTGCAGTCCAGGCAGGCGTTGAGCGCCGAGATATGGCTGTTGTTACTTCTTTCCGAAAGTAAGTGGATCTGCTTTAAAATTTCCATCCACGTTCTGACAATAGTCAGCTTTGTTCGAAATCTGGGTGGCACGCTAGGCCTTGCAATTGCTGGAACCATTATGTGAGGTCACTGCCATAACCTGCGGTCATATACATGCTAAACTTTCCAGAAACAACATTGTTGCGTCCTCCATCCTAGTCCTCGACCTGACTCAGTCTGAATCAAGGTCACTTTTGTCAAGTCCTCAGTCCTATCTGTCCGGACTTTCAGAAAATGATGCCAAGCACGTCCGAAGCGTGTTGATTCCTGCTTACAAAAAGGGCTTTCGCGTGATATTCGTTATTGGGGCTGCATTGGCTGCATTCTCGTTCTTTTTGGCGTTCTGGCTCATGCCACAGGTTGGGTTAAGGCGCGATGATGATGAGAAACTGAAGGGGGAGGGAAAGAAGCGGATTAACGGAGAGCTCGATGAGGAGAAGGGCAGTTGACAGTCAAAATATAATAAAAGCCAAGTATTCTTTCAGGTCAAGTGAATAGAATCTTGAAGCTGACTTAAGCTCCATCTTGTTCGATTATCAAGTTGGTAACGGTAGCCTTGTCGGCGACGTGCTTTGACGTTTTCTGCAGGTTTCATGGCGGCCGAAGGTGGAAACGGAGTGGTCTTGCTTTAACGGCTGAATGTAAGAACGAGACTACATAATCGAGAAATCACTGGGCAAAGAAGAAACTTGATGTTCTAAACCTGATGTGTGTAGACTGAGGATCAAAACTTCCGAGGCAAGTAGTGGACGATTTCCATCATGGCAAATATGAGGACTCCCCCTTCGAAGATTGCTGATATCCCGATTTGGAGAAACATTGTTGTAATTGGTCTGCTTTATCTTAGCTGTGAGCTTCACAGAAACGATTCAAAGGGACGAGACTCTCTTTTATTAAGGCTTCATGACTATCCAACAATTGGCAGTGTTTGTGCGGTCGATTTGTCCGTCCTTGGACTTGATGTCGGTAATATTGAGTGTTTAGCTTGTTAATTTAGGACACACCGTATTTTAAAGTAAAGGTAATAGCAGATTTTGGTCTCGATGATTGGGTCTACGAGAATACCTGTATCTAACGCTCGAAGAAGAGGTTCGAACCCATGTAGTCATAGTACTGTATCAAGAAATGACCACCTCAGTTTCCTATCGTGGGCCATTGCCCCGAAATTCCCTCTTGCCGTGTTCCATGCTGTTGTATGTTTTCCCCATGATGTATCTTTCAAGGGCCGCTTCATTTGAATATTCGTAGACCTCCAGAGGTGGACTATGAGGATAGACCACCCTGAACTCCACATACAGACGCATGAGGCCCTCTTCGCGCATCTGGCGCAGCGGCTCTGCAATTTCCTTGAAGCGTTCCCAGTCCGGGCCTTGGGTCTGCTCTGGCTCATGCTGTCCTTGTGCTCCGTCTAGCCAGAAGAGATCACTTGTTGGTGAAAGTTGAAGGATAATCATCAGTTTCAGTCGCTCCAGGTTAGCCTTTTGCCGCAAGGTCTCAAAGACCTCTTCCAGAAATTGTTTGGGCTCATCTTCTGTGCCAAAAAGGTCAGGCCAGAAATAGTGCTGTGGAATGTGGAGTGATATCTTGCGCAAGCTGCGGAGGGCATTTTCCTGAAGGTATGGCAACAGAAACGACCCTGAATCGCAGTAATCGTTTTCGACCAGAACAGACACGACCTCAAAGTGGTTTCTGGAGTAGAAGACCTCGGTTGCCAGTCGACGAATGTCATGGTTGACTAGAAAAAGGGATATTGGGAACTTCCAGCATTCGCACCGGCGTGCTAGAATGGTTGGGCACCTTCCTCTATAATACCATTCATGATCGTCTCGCACAATCTGGCATGTCCCGCAACGATGAAAATGATCCTGCACTCGGTCACAGTTGAAGCCGCGCAGGGAATGCCAAACAAGTTTTCCAGGTGCGACCAGCTCAGTCTGCTCAAGGATCTTGATTCTTATTTCTGTAGGCAAATCCATGAAACGGAACGGCTTCTGTGGGACGGACGGCTTGCACGACAGCCGGCTTTTGTCGGTAAGATGGTTGGCCAGATCGTCAGCTAGAGCACGCAACGCCGCAATATCCCCATTCAGTCCCGTAGAGTTGAGCCGAATTGCCACTTCTTTCAGAACCGGTAATTCTTGAACAGGGTCGGTCAATCTCTTTGCGAGATCAAAGGCTCTCACGTCGCATACGAGGGATAATTTGAGCCGGGATTCCTGGACATGCTTACTCAAGTAGGTGAAGAACTCCTCACATTCCCCGGGAAGCCATTTGCAGCGCCGTTGTGGGAGTTCGAAGTTGTCGAGCGGCAGAGAATCCCAATCCATGGAACAGGCTCTAATATCTTGCCATGGTCTGACGGCGCATTGATCTATGTCGTAGATGGTGACCTTGAGGGATTGAATTTGGCCCAGTGCTGCCGGATTGAGCTGCTTCAGGGACCGCAAGGCCTTGGGAAACACGAAGGAGACGTGGAAGCGGTTTTTGGAGTAGAGAAGCTCGCTTGTCTCCGCAGAGACTGTCCTTGCGACACGCAGTAGTTGAACAGGCACGGGCACAAAGGGTCTTGCGTAAAGGAAACAATCGCAATCCCCTGTACCATGTTTTTCCTCCTCAGTCATGCACCGAACCCGTCTGGGATTTCGCATGTATTCTCTGGCCTCGTGGCGTTGCTCTGGGCTCCAGACGTTCAAGTCAAGGGGACAATGTCTGGATAGGCCGGCGTACTTGTAGATTCGTTCTCGGATATTGAATGGAAGATCAAGGAAGGTAGGACGTGTTGGATCCCGTGGGATAACCAGGGCAGACCTGGCCGCTGCCATGGCCTGCATTGTATCCGGTCTTTGAGAAACAAGATGCCAATTAGCAAGACCTAAAGCCGCTCGGTCCGCATCTAGTTAGTTACCAATGTAGTCAGAGACCACTCTGGGAAACTCGTTGAGACAGGATGGGAGATTCCTACATGGACCACCGGGAGCTTGAAACCACAACAATCGTTCGCTAGGTGAGCAAACCACGTAGAGCAAGTCTTGATACAGCGTCAAAAACGCTGAATTGATGTGGCAGAAGCTAGTCTGCAAAACGTAAGGAGTAGGGAGCAGCCGGGTTGTTTGGAAACGTAGCAGGATTAGGCCATTGTCCAGCAGGAGAAGAGGAATCAATCGATGCAACGAGGAGAAGATGCTCATGCAAAAGGCCTACAAATAGGTGACAAATGAAGCAAACGAAGTATTACGGCGATATTCATGGGAGGCTCCAGCAATCGTCGGTACTACTTACAACAAATAGCTTCATGAGGCAATATTCAAGCTAGTTCGGAGCTCTACACATAAACTTATTGGGGAGTCAAGTGTATTAGCAAAATCTGATGCGTCTTTCACATTGAATTAGGGGGTGTTCAATCGATTGAAGCTTTGTTGTATCGTGATGAGTTTGATACTTTGAATCCAGGTTTCAACTTTTCAAAACTTTACTCCGGCCCCTTTGTCGTGGTTGGGGTGTACAACGAGGCCAGGTACACGTCAACGTCAAAATCCACGAACCGAGACGGACATCGGGCCTTTAGGTGCGAGCAAAAGCTTGCAGTCGGCATGGTCACTTCACACTACACCGGGCACCCGCGCAAAAGTCTGTGTGCATTTAGCCCCACCACTCATCGCCCCAACAACGACCTACAATCTTGTTTTTCTTCACGCTGGAGTTATATGGAAGCGCTCGAAGAAGGTCTCCTTCCAATCTATCAACCAAGAATGATATTTTAGGCAGATAACGTAAGGATTCATTTCGCGAAGGATACGCAAGAGTGGTTTAAAGAGCATCCTGGATATACGTTAAAGATTGGCCTACGCACTCTCCTGATCTAAACCCTATTAGGCCGTTATGGAACATGCTTAAGCGTTAACTTTTCCGTATGTATCTAGACCTGATGTAAATAGGAAGATCAGAAGCCGATTAGGCCTATTTCAAAGAGTGTATTAGTGCTGTATAGGATACATTAGATCTGGCCAAGACTGATGCGTTGATATTGAGTATGGGTATTTATTATACGCATATTAAGTGTGGAAAATTTGTAACTATATAAACATAATTACTCAGCATACAAAATTTCTTCTAGATCTAATAAGGTGGTGTAGAATATATTACCATGGATATTTACATATTTGATGGGGTGGGGTGGCGGAAGCGGTATGCACACAGACTTTTGCGCCCTATTGTAGTACTACTCTGCAATTTTACATTTACGAGGAATGAAGGCGATTGCGGGTTGTCTGAAGCATTGAATTACCGGAAATCCCAGACCATAGGTATCGCTAATTGACAGATGATAGACACAGCCCGTGTGCAGAACAAACAACCCGTAAAGAAAACGTTAAGATAATTTTTTGTAGGTTGAGTCACTTCATTATTACTTGATGCAGCTCAACTTGAGACCCCCGATTTGAGAGAAACACTCTAGTTCATCTGGCGGATGAGAGCGTTGATGTTCTCCTCACGGTTACCGGTGTCACCACCCTCGATGTAGTGCTTGAACTTGCGAGTGCGGAAGCCACCGTTGGGGTTGGACAGCTTGAAGGGCCACAGGAAGTTGTTGGCCTGCTTGAAGTTGGGGCCAACAGTGTAGATCTCGTGGATCAGATCCTCCATGCAGACAATGCCGAACTTGCCGAGGTGCTCCTCGATGATCTGGTTGTCGGTGAGGGCAACACGCTGCTTGTCGACCTTGCCGTAACCGCGCTTGTAGAGGAGCTCACGGACGGACTTCAGGTTGGGGTAACCGTAGGCGATGTAGGGGTTGACAATGGTCAGCATCTCCTGGGTAGCCTTGGTCAGGCGGATGAAGGTACCGCTGTTGATCTGGAGCAGACGGAGGAGCTGCAGGATCTTGCGGGGCTTGGGGGCAATCTTGTTGATACTGTTTGGAAAGAGTCAGTAAAGTGTCGAATAACATCTAAGAAATTGGAGATAGACATACCCCTTGATACGGACAACGAAGACCAACTTAGGCTCGTCATCGACGTAGAAGTTACCCTCCTGGCGGGCAGCGCGGGCCAGGCGGATCTTCTCACGCTCAGCATCGCGGTACTCCTTGACGTAGGACTCAGCGCGCTTGAAGATAACGCCACGCTTCTCCTTGTTGGCCTATTGTGGAACTCAAGTCAGCAAGAGATTCCTCAACGATAGTGATGATATAACAAGTATAGGTAGCATCAACAAAGTATCAGACCCGAAAGATGGTTGACATGCGACAGCATTGACCAGTGGTCTAGTCGCGTGGTTGGTGTTTTCATCATATTGTTGGAAGGGAAGTGGAGGAAGTTGGACAAATGCAGGGGGATTTTGCATTTGTGAGGATAAACCGACCTTCTTCTTAGCGTCGGTCTCGGCACGGCGCTCAGCGCGAGCAGCCTCCTGGCTCTTGCGCTTCTTCAGGAGGGTCTCGGGGACGAGGACCTGGTCCTGGGTGGGGACGGAGCTGGCGTTGGGGTTAGTATAGTGCGTCCACGCGATCATGTATGACATGAAACAATCCGTCGAGTGTAAAGAACTGCAGCATGAAGCGCCACATTCTCAACTGGAAGGCAAAATAGAAAAACAAAAACTCGACGAATGACTTTAATCAGTGAGGGCCAAGGCAAGAACAGGGCTTCACGGTCTCTTTGGTGCTGGTTGGCATGTTTCAGCACAACGTTCGCAAAAATTTTCAGACCACCCGAAAAAAACTTCTTGCCAAGTCTGCCCTCATCTGACAATACCCTAAACCAAAGTTCAGGAGATATGTGTTGACGCTCTTCGTTCCATATGGGCAATGACTGCTTTCACCGCATCAAGAGCACCGGAGACGACAGCTGACAACAATGTTTTTGGAGGAGAAGGCGCCGGAACGCTTTCAACCTCAAGACTCCATGGCTCTCCTTCTGTCGGCTGGTTCTTTTCGAAACACGAGCGCGTATCTCCAAGGCCGGTCGAACAGGTAGGAGGCACGGGAAGGATCGAGCTGGTGCTCAGCGGCCATCATCGGCCTGCGACGATGACCGTAGCATTTCCAGCGAGAGAAGGACGACTATACTGGAACCTCACAATCTCGATGGATTGCATCAGTCAGAAGGGAATCAAGGGATAGCATACGTAGGAGTAGGGGCCATTTTGAAGATCCGGCAAGGTCGATTGTCGAAGGTTGTCGGAGAAAAGATCGAAGAAAGAAAAGCTCGAAGAGAAGAAGAAGGCAGATTTCGCTTGTGTGGGTAGTGGGCCAAGGCTAACCGAATTGGGCCTGGTCTGGATAAACTCTGCGCCATTCCCTCTTGGGTCGAGCCTGCCCTTATCACCCCCGATTAGGGCTCGGACTATATCAGATGACTTTATTCCTCGGCATTCCCTGGGTCGGGACCCCCCTACGACTAAACAGGGCGGGGGTTACTTCCACGTTCCCGCATCACGATCACCATGTCTCGTCGCGGTGTTGGCCTGGGCGCTTTTGCCAACCGTACTCAAGCAACACAGTCTTTCGCCACTCATGGCGCCAACCTACGGTCCACGCATACGGCGTCTCTCCAGACACAGCTTTCCGTGTTCCAGTCCTTACTCCATACCTTCGCCCTAGAGCATAGCTCCACCATCAAGTCCAATCCTACCTTCCGAGCCGAGTTCGCGCGCATGTGCAATACGATCGGAGTCGATCCTCTTGCTGCGAGTAACGTCAAAGGCAAGAATGGCCGTCGCGGTCTTGGCGAGGGAGGGAGTTTCTGGACACAGATCATGGGCGGTGATATGAACGACTTCTACTTTGAGGTTGCTGTCCGCGTCGTGGAGCTATGCCGAGACACTAGGGACGAGAATGGCGGATTGATCGGAGTAGAAGAATGCCGAAAGCGGGTGCGCAAAGGGAAGGCAATTGGAAGTGGACTGGAGGTTTCTGAGTACGAGCAGCCTTGATGCAGGCTCAAGGACTTCAGACGAACACTAACACAACTTCTGGTTCTCTAGAGATGATATCCTCCGCGCCGTTCGGTCTCTAGAGCCTCTCGGCTCCGGCTTTTCTATCGTCCACGTTGGCTCAAAGCAATATATCCGGTCGATTCCAAAGGAGCTGAACACCGATCAGGCGACCGTACTGGAAGTCATTCAAATGCTTGGATTTGTGAGCTTATCAATGCTACAGCTTAATCTCAACTGGGAGAAAGCCCGGGCGCAGACTGTCATCGATGACCTCCTGGCCGATGGCCTTGTTTGGCTGGATGCTCAGGGCCCGGAGAAGGAGTATTGGTCACCTCAAAACCTGCTAGATGATAGTGGATGAAAGCAATCACCCATGCGCCTCGGTTGTCGAGGTACGAAATACTTACTAAACGATGGTCCTTCGAGAGATCACAACACGCCGACAAGGATGCCCAAAGTGGACCGCCCTTCCCAACCGCGAGATCAAACGCGTCGGGCCTTTTGCTCTTCAGCGTACCTCGGGGAAACGGCGTCGCGGATAACATGATCTCAAATCTGCGGAAATTGCAACTGAATTAGCTTCGCCGTATGCCCAACCGGGTGCCTGATAAACTCGTGATCCTTGAATCTGGAAAGCCCAGCACGCCAAGGAGAACAGTTGCTGATTCCCAGGAACTGAGATTGCGATGAGTCCAGGTTCCGGCTCCAACTTCTCGTTAGATAATTTCTAGAGATCTTTTAGATCATATCTATATATATATATATATATATACCAAATTACCCAGAGAAGTTGAGAAATTAAGTTTCATGGAGTCTTTTGGTGGGTCACCTCACCATGCCTCTTCAAGATATATATTATGTCCAAGAGTAGCCCTGTGGTACGTAATCTGCAATGACCATTGAATTTAAATCGCGATCATCATCTCTGTAAATGTGATTTCAAGCTATAGATGTCTATTCAACCCACACAGGCAATGCGGTAGAGTATATGCTAAATTTGAATGACTTCTTGCACCCTCCGATCACGGTTCACCACCAAGCGGAGCTGTCTACCCTGCCAGTCTGACGTTTCCGCAGATGTATTGTGCGGCTTGAAGACCCCCTCCCGAAGAGTTTCAGTGAAGAGTTCGTAGGAAGGATAATCTGCAATTGAAGAACGATTAGCCCCAAACAATCAGGAATATAGTCGAGGGGGATACGAACAGCCATCCACGAAATGATTGACCTGTTCTTGGGTCATTCCGGTGCCCTTGGCCGCGCGCAAAGCACGCTCTTGTTCCTGTCGCCATTCGTAGACGAACCGAAGATTCTGAGCGTCACTAGAAGAAATGGAGTCAGTGAGCTGCGATTGACATAGATCCATGATTGAAGCCTTACATGTGAATCAGGGCATCAAGTTTACTGCGATAATTGTCAGCCCATCTTCAGGTCTCATTATCTGGCACCAATATAGCCACTCACTCTGTCAAAACATCATATTGCTTCAATGCGTCGTTTACCGTTTTTATGTCCTCGAACTTGACATGTCCCAGTCGCCCTTGGTAGCCTCCATTTTCCCTTTGTCGCACTGCATCCTCCCACTTGGTGCGAAGAGTTTGATCATCCCAGGCACGGAAACCGACACACCATCCTTCAAAGATGACCACCTTGACCTTCTTCTGGCCCTCGGAATTCACAGTCTCCCATTGCGACTGAGGTACACGGTCGCCTTGTCCGGCAAACGCAGACTTGTCATACTGTGGAATGGCCGTGGGTTGCTCCGCCGCGAGCGAAGCAAAGACCTGCTCACCTAGCGCAAGATCATGAGTCGAAGGTTGACCACGGTGCTGGAGGAGAGGATTGGTGGGATGCGCCTGTGCTAGCGCAACCTGATCGGCGTGGGTCAGATAGATGTCGTCCAGCGACAATGTCACCACGGAGAGCGAGTACGGCTCGGAGCGGAGCGTATTTTGCAGTGTTGACACCTGAGGGGTACATTAATTGAGCTGTGTTGACCCGAGGAGTAATGGGACCGAATCCGTCCCGAGGCAGGAACTCCAGTCGAAGTCGGAGCAACGTACCAACACGGTTTTGCCGGCGCCCTGCACGCCATTGAGCCCCAGAAAGAACGGCGGGGTATTACCGTCGGCATTGGCGTGCCGTTCGGTATGGATGCGCAAGCGCTCCAGTAGAAATGGGATGCAATGCTGCGACTTGTCGTCCACGATCTCTGGCATGTTGGAGGGTGTTATCTTCAGGTCTATCGGCTACGGTGACCGGCAAGTTCTCCGATCGGGGGGAATCTGGGGTTTTCTAGGCCCCGCGGGTCCTGTCTAGGCGATTTCTCGGGCGAGTGTTGTGTTTCTTACTCGGCCTAGTGGGCGACTATAAGAGCTAACATTGCTTTCAACGGATTTCTCAATAGCTTACTATAGCTAACAGGCGTAGTATAGTATACTATCATTCATGTAGATAATATTACATTTTAGAAAGACGCACATGGCAATGACGTTGGAGTCTGTCACATGTCTGAGTCAGCATGTGGTCTTCGGTGCATTCCGCCAGTATGGGCGGTTGAGGGAACCAGGGTGTAATGTACGGAGTACAGCAACCAGAGTTGAAATGGGAAACCGCTGGAGATATCAGAACACGAAACAGTCTTACTGATTTATCATCGGCGCAAAGATCATAAAATAATACACACCACTATACCAACTATACCAGATTCCCCCAATCTAGGCCGATCGCCGGCATGTGAAGCAACCCCATCTGCCATGTAACGATACACGCCTCGTATCTTACCGCCGTGCCCACCGACCAAACGTGCCGAGGTCCCCCAGCTTCGACCGACCGAGCTTGTCTTTAAACTCCTCTCCCTCTCCATCTTTTTCCTTCCCCCTTCCCCAACTTCTAGTTCTATCCTGTAGACTGAACTAGTCGGGCTACTTTCATTACACACATATCGAAATATGTCCGAACTACGATTCGATAACCAGACGGTCGTCGTCACTGGCGCCGGCGGTGGTTTGGGAAAGGCATATGCTCTTTTCTTCGCCTCAAGGGGTGCTAACGTCGTTGTGAACGACCTCGGCGGTTCTCACTCTGGTGAGGGCAAGTCATCAAAGGTATGATAACGACGAATGACTTTTGGACCATCCGCTCACATCTCTCCCAGGCCGCAGATGTTGTAGTTGAGGAGATCCGCGCCGCCGGCGGCAAGGCGGTTGCCAACTACGACAGCGTCGAGAACGGTGATGCCATCATTGAGACAGCCATCAAGAACTTTGGTCGAATCGATATTCTGCTCAACAACGCCGGTATCCTCCGCGATATCAGCTTCAAGAACATGAAGGATTCCGACTGGGATCTGATCAACCGCGTTCACACCTACGGTGCTTACAAGGTAAGGGCTTATACCTCCCAACCCCGCAGTTTCGGCAGTCAGAATGCAAAAGACTAACATTATCCCCGCAATCCATAGTGCGCCCGCGCCGCCTGGCCTCACTTCCGCAAGCAGAAGTTTGGCCGTATTATCAACACTGCCTCCGCCGCCGGTCTTTTCGGCAGCTTCGGCCAGGCCAACTACTCGGCCGCCAAGCTCGGCCAGGTCGGTTTCACCGAGACCCTCGCCAAGGAGGGTGCGAAGTACAACATCATTGCCAACGTCATTGCTCCCATTGCTGCTAGCCGCATGACTGCTACCGTGATGCCCCCTGACGTTCTGGAGAACCTCAAGCCCGACTGGGTCGTTCCCCTCGTTGCCGCTCTCGTCCACTCCTCCAACACCACCGAGACCGGTGGCATCTATGAGGTTGGCGGTGGTCACGTCGCTAAGCTCCGTTGGGAGCGAGCCAAGGGTGCTCTCCTCAAGACTGATGAGTCTCTGACCCCGGGCGCCATTGCCGCCAAGTGGAACGAGGTCAACGACTTCTCCAAGCCAGAGTACCCTACCGGTCCCGCTGACTTCATGGCCCTGCTGGAGGACGGCTTGAAGCTCTCCAGTGCCCCCAAGGCCAAGGAGCCCGACTTCAAGGGCCGTGTTGCTCTCGTCACTGGTGGTGGTGCAGGTCTCGGCCGCGCTTACTGCTTGTTGTTCGCCAAGTACGGTGCCAAGGTTGTCGTCAACGACCTGATGGACCCCGAGCCTGTCGTTCAGGAGATCAAGAAGCTGGGTGGTGAGGCCGTTGGCAACAAGGCCAACTGCGAGGATGGCGAGGCCGTCGTCAAGTCCGCCATCGATGCCTTTGGCCGTATCGATATTCTCGTCAACAACGCTGGTATCCTGCGTGACAAGGCTTTCACTAACATGGATGACAACCTGTGGAACTCTGTCATCAACGTCCACCTCCGCGGTACCTACAAGGTCACCAAGGCTGCTTGGCCCTACTTCCTCAAGCAGAAGTACGGCCGTGTCGTCAACACTGCCTCCACCAGTGGTATCTACGGTAACTTCGGCCAGGCCAACTACGCTGCTGCTAAGCTCGGTATCCTCGGCTTCTCCCGCACTCTCGCTATGGAGGGTGCCAAGTACAACATCAAGGTCAACACTATCGCTCCCAATGCTGGTACCAACATGACCCGCACCATCATGCCCGAGGAGATGGTCCAGGCCTTCAAGCCCGACTACGTCGCTCCTCTGGTTGTCCTGCTGTGTTCTGATGCCGCCCCCGAGCCCGCTACCAAGGGTCTCTTCGAGTGCGGTAGCGGTTGGTTCGGCCGCACCCGCTGGCAGCGCTCTGGTGGCCACGGTTTCCCCGTGGACGTTAAGCTGACCCCCGAGGCCATCGTGTCCAAGTGGAAGGAGATCACCAACTTCGAGGACGGCCGCGCCGACCACCCCGAGGATGGCCAGGCCGGTACCGAGCGCATCATGGCCAACATGTCCAACCGCGCCGGCGGCGCCGGCGAGAATGAGACCCTCGCCAACATTGAGAAAGCCAAGTCTCTCACTGCCGAAGGCACTCCCTTCGACTATGTCGACCGCGACATCATCCTGTACAACCTCAGCGTGGGTGCTAAGCGCACCGACTTGCCTCTGGTGTACGAGAACGACGAGCACTTCCAGGCTCTTCCCTCGTTCGGCGTGATCCCCTGGTTCAACACCGCTAACCCCTGGAACATGGACGACATTGTCAAGAATTTCTCGCCCATGATGCTGCTCCACGGAGAGCAGTACATGGAGGTTCGCAAGTTCCCCATCCCCACTACCGCCAACACCCTCACTTACCCCAAGCTCATCGACGTTGTCGACAAGGGCAACGCCGCTATTGTCGTTGCTGGCTACACCACCAAGGACGCCAAGACCGGCGAGGACCTGTTCTACAACGAGTCCACCGTCTTCATCCGTGGTAGCGGTGGCTTCGGTGGCTCTCCCAAGCCCACCGCCGCCCGTGCTAAGGCCGCCACCGCGGCCTACAAGCCCCCCAAGCGTGCCCCCGATGCCGTCGTTGAGGAGAAGACCTCCGAGGACCAGGCTGCTCTGTACCGCCTGAACGGTGACCGCAACCCTCTGCACATTGACCCCGAGTTCAGCAAGGTCGGTGGCTTCAAGACCCCCATCCTGCACGGTCTGTGCTCGCTCGGTGTCTCGGGCAAGCACGTCTTCGCCAAGTACGGTGCCTTCAAGAACCTCAAGGTCCGCTTTGCCGGTGTTGTGCTGCCCGGCCAGACTCTCAAGACTGAGATGTGGAAGGAGGGCAACACCGTCCTCTTCCAGACCACCGTCGTCGAGACTGGCAAGCCTGCCATTACGGGCGCCGGTGCCGAGCTGCTCGAGGGCGCGAAGGCTAAGCTGTAAAATATGGGAATCTTCGGTTGAAGCGGTATACCCTGGCGCGCGAGCTGGGAATACTCCAGTCAGAATGTGTAGCTTCTTGTTTGTATATACATAGCCTCTTTATTTACGTTTCGTTATCTCTATGATCTCTTAGTACCCATCAAATGACACCTCGACTTGGGAATTCAATATTGGATGAATGTGAGCCTGCTTTGCTTTTTCTTAAATGTTTGAGCCTAAATACTAGTGTGCAGTAGTTCTGTCGGAGATTTTACAATTCACACTGCATCAGTCACACTCTCGCATTCTGCAGAGGTTATGAGTGAGACTTCATCTCGGCAGAGATTGTGGCCGACGGGGCACGGGCGCAAGGGGAATCGACTAGAGAATGACCACTTGGGCCTGCACGAATCAGTTATCCCCCATCTTTGGAGAGCTGCCGATTTCATAGATTCCAGGATATTATTAGCATGCCCAGTGTTGCACAGAATGCGATCGTGTCCTTTGCAACGATTGACTTCGTCAAATCTCCTCAGTAGGCAACAGAGCCGGGCCCGTCTTATGTAAACCGCAACTCACGATCCTGCATTCTTCATTTCCACTTCTCATCAGGCCACCAAGCCGCCTACTTCTCACTAAACCCCCTCTGAAAGCGCAACTCGAAGAACACCATCCTCTGTCACTCCGTAACTCGCAGACCGACCATGTAGCAGCGCCCACCGCACTCCCAACATGGTGATCTCGCTACCTGTCCCCGGCTTCTCCAGATCATCCACTTCTCCCCCACGCCCCGCCAATGACACATCTTCACCGCAAACACGCCGACACCGCGGCTCAGCCTCTTCAACAAGCTCCTCCTCCAGTCGGAACGTCTGGAAATCCTCCGGTCTAGGCAGTTCCAGTTCTGCAACCTCGTCCTCCCCGAACAAACCCTCCATTACACTCAGCGAGGCTCTCCGGAATAACCCTTTCGGTAGTACATCGCGCTCCCGCACCGTGCATGTACCTCCCCACCGGGTGGAGGAGCAGATGCATGAGCAGGAGGAGCTGAATGCCGCGTTGGAGACTCTAGCTGGTACATTTCCGGATGTTCGCGTCGAGGTTTTCCGCGAGCTACTGGTTCGCTTTGACGGGGAGAGCCGGCTGCAGGTCTGCGTTGAGCAGTTACTGCGCCATAAAGACAAATGGGTTGAGGGCAGGTGGAATATTCCCGAAAGCCAAACTGCATCAGATGGTCGGGACCCGAATGACCAAGCAGTACCGCATGGTCCGGTGGGCGAGAACCTAGTGCCGGTTGAAGAGCGCTTTCGGTCAGAGGAATACAAGGCAGCGGTGCAGTTGATTCTTGCGAAGGAATTCAGCAGTCTGAGCAAAAGCACCGTCGATGCCGTACTGGCGGAGGCGAACTTTAGTTATTGGCGTGCGCGTCCGACGCTGCGAGATCTCTCGCGTCGTACTTGGCGGGCTACATTCAATAACATCTTGCCGTTCCGCCGCAAAAAGGATCGAGATGACCATCCGCTCATGACATGGCAACGCCGCATGGATGGCGAGCTGGTACCACGATTGAAAGAAACCGGGTCAGCTGAGCTGGACGCCGAGCTTTACACGATTCTCCTGGCGCCACTGTTAGACCAACGGCGTGAGAATCAGGAGGCTGACGATTTCCGCCTTGCTTTGGAATTGAATGAGAAGGAGGCAAAGTCGGTTGATGCTCTTTACGAGTGTGAGTGCTGCTTTGCCGACGTCACCTTTGAGCAGATTGCGACCTGCTCGGTCAATGCGCATGTCATATGCTACCTTTGCATCCAGCGGACGATATCCGAGGCATTGTTCGGCCAGGGATGGGGCAAGTCCGTGGACTTGGGGCGTTCAACATTAAAGTGTCTGGCTCCATTATCCGTGGGTGCGTGTGAAGGCTGTCTACATCCACAGATTGTGAGACAGGCTGTCCTCCTTGACACTGCTGGCACCGAAACGTTTCGCAAATTCGAGGACCGATTAGCCTCGGAAACGCTACTCAAGTCTCAAATGAAACTCATCCGGTGTCCATTCTGCTCTTATGCGGAAGCCGATCCAATCTATCATCCCTCTTCCCGCGGAATCCGCTGGCAGGTCCGGCGGGATGGGGGGATCATTCCTTCTATTCTAATGACTGTCTTCCTACTTGACCTCGTTCCTTTACTTGTGATCCCTTTTGTAATTCTTCTCTTTGTGGACCCGTCCTCCGTCCTCGCTGTTTTTGAAAATGCGATTCGTCACCTTTGCCTCAAGATCCGTCCGCAACGATTTGTCTGTTCCAATCCATCTTGTCAGCGCGTGAGCTGCATAACATGTCAGAAACCCTGGCGGGACCCGCATGTCTGTCACGAACCGCTCCTGCTAGACCTTCGAGCCACCGTTGAGGCTGCACGAACCGCAGCCGTCAAGCGAACCTGCCCGCGATGCGGTCTGTCGTTCGTCAAGTCCTCCGGCTGTAACAAGCTAACCTGCGTCTGCGGGTACTCGATGTGTTACTTGTGTCGCAAGGCACTTGGGCCTCGCATTCAACCCGCCCGAGCCCGACGTGGATTTGACCGGCCACGACCCCGAGGTCTGGACGCTTACGATGGCGCAGCAGACGACAACCCATTCCAAGATGACCCAGAGGCAGAATCCGAGGAAGACGAGTTCGAAGAACCAGAAGGCTACAAGCACTTCTGCGAGCATTTCCGCATCAACCCTGGTTCCCGATGCACAGATTGCAGCAAGTGCGATCTCTACCAAGCCGAAGACGAAGAAGCCGTTGCCCGTCGGGCGGGCGAAAAAGCCGAGCGAGAGTGGCATCTTCGACAAGAACCATCCGGGCCCAATAGTTCCGCTTCGGTCGTTGGATCACACAGCGTGAATTATGATCTATCGGCCGGAGCTGAGGGCAATGCCATCGGCCGTCGCGCATCAAGTACCCTGTGGGACCTGCATCTGACGGGGAAGCCGTGGGTCTATTGGGTGAGCGATGTGTGGACAGAGGGGCGGTGGAAATTAGAGGGCCAGGCTTTGGTTGATTGGATCGTGGAGCGAGTTATTGTGATTGAGGAGGTGTAAGACATTGCCCTGGTCCTCTTGCCGAGCTTCCTACTTTGCTGCCCTTCTTTGGGCTTGGATTCTTGGAACTTGGGGCGCTTTGGGGGTGGGATCTGGAAACAAAATTGTGACTTGCATTGGTGGACTTCATTTTCTTCAGGCAGTATTGCCTTCATTAGCTTGGCTTTCACTGCCTTGACTTGGTTTGCTGGACGACGTGATGACCGATATGAACCTCTACTCTTTTTATATGAATTGGCTGTTCACTTCCAAATAGCGAGGGAGTGATAGCTCTACTTTCTTTAATGAACGTGTTTGACCAACTCTGAAACCCGTTATACAGTGACAAATCCTCCGATAATATTTGGTAATGATAATCTAAGACTCGCAAAGTTCTGTCAGCAACATGATCCTTTTCCATGGCCGGAATGGCGATTCTGGTCTGGAAGCCATACTATACACGACCATAAGCAACATAGAGTAAGATACGTCTTTCTATATACAGTACTTGGTTCCATTAGTTTGCCGACAAGCCATCGTTATTCCCGAGCACCACATCTTTTCATTGAGCTTGTCGACAGAGTATCGCCGATCTACACCCTAGTGCACCACCTGTTACCTGCAAACACTCCACTTTCCACCCCCAAACCCTTCTTTCACCCATAAACCCAATCGACCAAATTCCTAAAGCAGAAATTGAAAGGAACCAAGCTAAAGTCAGCCCCAAGATTCGCCCCCATATGCTCCGTACTCACTCAGCTGCAATCTCTTTGACTGCACCCAGAGCGTCTAATAGCCCCCACAAACAACGGCCCCCAAGAACCCTGAACCAAGTCACCAAATCACCGACAGCGGCACTGGCTTAAGCGGTGGTCCGCTAAGCCCTAAAGCCATATAGGCCCTGTCGATCACACCCGATTCATTATCTGACTCGGGGGCTTGGACGGTGCTTGGAGTGTCTTGTATGGACTGCAGTGCTGCATTTCGTAGAGATTGCGGCAGATGGGATCTGATCGGCTGCTTATTATGTTGATACATGGTGAGGGCTTGGTTCAATTGGATTACACGTGGGGCGTGGCCAGGGAGGTGAGACTGGTTGTATACTGGTGGTTTTGGGGGTTGAGAAGGGTCTCATATGTTTGCGATGTGAGATGGATGTTGTCTATGATGGGAGGATAAATAGGACTTGATAGTCCGCGTTGGAAAGACAATTATTCTCTTCAGTGCATCGAGATCGTGGTCATATCTCCGGGAAACATTACATTCATTTTCGACACAGTCCCTCTTTGATACATTCTTGATACACCATAAACCGAAGCATCAAAATGCTCCATATAACTGCCATAGCAGCACTGGCTCTCTTGCCTGCCGTACAAGGAGCGCCCGCTACCTCATCCTCTTCGAACGGAGTACACAAGCGCTGCGGCACCGTCTCGCAATACTACAACCAACAAGCCACGGACTGGGATACCTACAAGACCGGTGACTGGCTAGACAGCTGGTGGAACAGCAACACTGCTCTCATGAGCAAGAACACCGCCGGTTTCGCCGGTGCTTTTGGTCAATGGGCAATAGGCAATCCCGACTGGACCTGCCGTGATGATGGTTCCAGCTCAGACTGTGATCTGAATCTTTGTGATAACCGGGTCTTGAATGATCGTGGCAAAGATATTCGGCCAACGTACTACGTGCTTGAATCGGTAAACCGACTGCACTCGTACTTTACTGGCGTAGGCCAAGCATTTTCCACTGCGGCGTTGGGTGCTGCATTGTCCAAGGATCAGTGGGCGACTACCTTTTACAAGGACAAGGATGACAAGGATGCTACCGTTCTGAAGGAGGTTCTCAACGCCGTGGTGACCATCATCGGTATTGGTGCTTCCTTTGCAGGTCTTGGAGGAGGCCCGGTCGTCGGTGCATTCGCCGGTGCTGGCGCTGCACTAGCAGGTGGTGCCAACGCTGCTGCGGGTATTGTCCTCGGTGCCCAGTATGTCTCCCTCTATCCCACATCAACATCCCAATATCCCATCCTCACACGCTAACCCCACCCCCAGTAAGGACGACACCTTCCAAAAGTCCGCTGATCTAGGTAGTATCCTGGGCACGATCGTCGTCGACTCCCTCAAATCCTTCACGACAGCCAACAATGAGCTAATGGCCGGTAAATCCTACGGCAACGCCGATATCCGCAGCTATATCTCCCACGGTGCCTTCCTCGACTTTCCAGGCGTTGACAAAAACGCTGTCACCGACTCCATGACCAGCATGCTCGTCGGCACAGCCGTAAACACGCTCTACCGCAAACAAAAGATCTTCATCATGGGCGGCGGCGCCTGCAACGATAACCAGGGCATCGGCTCGGGGCCGCAGGAAGCAGTCGTTTGCCGTGACGGGAAGGCCTGGTACTTGTACTATTGGCAGGAGAATGATGTTATCTCGACGACCTCGCATCAATGGGGGTGGGTTGCTAGTCCCCCCGGCGCGGACAAGCTGGGCTCGGATGAGTACAGCGGTGTCTCGGTGCAGGATATTATCAACTCCTCGCTTGATGCGTACAATGTTGCTGGATACAATTACAATGCTGATACGGCGAAGGCCCGTGCCGAGGACGCCATTTCCAATGCGTGGGCCAGTCCTGGTGCGAAGGGCGCTGCTTGGGAGGGTGTTTTTACCATACCGGTTTGTGATATCGGTGCTGCTATCAACGCGGACTATCAGGATAAGCAGTATATCTTGCAGCCGTATGGTCATGATAGTCGGCCTGTTTGGTGTGGGCCGATTTGTGGCGGTGATTTGCAGAAGACCAAGGATTTTATTCATGCCGCTAATATGGATGGGTTTAAAAGCCCGAAGCATCTGTGCAATTCGGCTCCTGGATATTGATTAGGGTTGCGTCTTGAGGATGGGTTTCTTTGATGAATGTCATAGCAAATCTATTCAAAAGGGATTGGGTGGTTTCATTGGATATAGGTTTCTTGAATGATTTGATACGCTATAGATCGATGTGAAAATTGAATCTCTAGTCTTACATACTCTCCATCATATTGATCTCCTCCAGTAGGCTCTGCATGACTGCCATAATGGAAATAAACCCATACTTGAAAGGCATGACACGGTTGAAATCACCGAGAGCCATCGAGGTCAAAAAATAAAAGGTATCCTTTCCTAGACCGTGGATAATTCCAGGACTTCTGGGTCTTCTTTCCGTTCGCCGACAAGACACTCAGCCTTCTAGTCATACCTATGACTTCAAGCCATGTCTTCAAGGAACCTATCCATAAAGCATACACCTCTTAGAACTACAGAGCACATACATCTACACACAAAAAAATAACTTAAGTTCTAACCATTTGTATTCATTCATTTTGGATCATGGGACAGTCACTAGCGGATTTCACTCGTGATCAGAAACAGCATGAGAAAGGGTGGGAGGAGGGAGGCGGAAGGAGTGCAAAAAAGAAAAAGGAGGAAAAGGAGACCATGACAGAGAGATAGAAAGGTGAAAAAAGGGTTGTGAAAAAGGAGACGAAGAAACCAAGGCATGCCATTACATCAAAAGACAAAGAAATCCCGTTTAAGCCTTGATTGCACCACCCAATGCACCGCCGCCGAACTGCTGGCCACCGGGTCTCCGACCCTGCTGGCCGGGGATCCGAGCACCACCACGGCCCTGACCACCGCCGCCGCGACCGCCGCGACCACCACGGGCACCGGGGCCCTGCTCACGCTGGAAGGCGTTAGCCATACCCTGGGTGCGCTGCTCGAGGGTCTTCTCGTTAGACTCGAGCAGACCCATGGACTTGTCGGCGAGGGTGACGATCTGGGACTGCAGGCGAGAGAGCTCGACGCCCTTGCGGAAGACGATGGCGTCGTTGACCTGGTCAAGAGCAGCGGCGAGCTCCTCGTGCGAGATCATGCGGCTGATGATAGCAGCGATCTTCTTGGTGGGGAGCTCGAACATGTCGGCCAGCGAGGAGATGGAGAGGCTATCGTAGAAGGGAGCGTAGGTGAACAGGTATGTGCGCAGACCCTCTTCTTGCGTCTGGGCAGCGAGCATCTCCTTGACCTTCTCGGGCTGCGGCATGAGGTCCCAAATCTTGATAGAGGAAAGCATGGAGGCAGCCTTCTTCCAGTCACCGGCGGCAAGGAACTTGGCCGACATGATGACACCGTCACGGGTGTTCTCGGGAGGACCGGTGAACACTTGGCGCTCGTTGTAGTCGAGCATGCGGCGGAAGGTCTTGGAGATCATACGGCGGCGCATCTCGGGGGCGGAAGAGGTCTGGGCCATGAGGGGAACCTCAAGGAACATGCTGGAGGTGAGGTAGATGCACTCGAGCAACTCGAGGTTGATGTGCATGTGGAAGGGCAGCTGGCGCTGACGCTCGAGGCGCTCCTGCTCGGGGGAGACGGTCGAGTACCGCTGGAGGATGATACCCTGAGCCAGCAGCTCCTTTTGCCGGCCAGAACCGCAAATGTCACCGAGGGTGTTCTGGGCCTCGTAGATGAGACCAGCGCGGAAAGCGCACAGACCGATCTGGACAAGGGTGCGGTTGAAGAGGATCTGGGTGCTGACGTCAAAGTTGGAGATGTTCTCGGACAAGTGCGACATGAGCATCAGATCGCGAGAGCGGTAGTACTGGTCGTGCAGAGCGAGGAAGTATATCTGGCACAGCATGGAGCGAGCACGGATGATGCCATCGCTGTTAGCGAAGAGGTAGTGGCACAGAGTCTGGATGAGGGTGTTGACGTCGCCAACGTCCTTGCGGGAGGTGATGGCGGAGTCGAGCTGCTCGGGGAGTGCCTTCCATGTGGCATCCTCGAGGATGGAAACAACCTGGGAGGGCTTGAAGTAGACGTGCTCCAGACGGCGGATGATCACACGGTTAACGCTGTCTTGTCGGGAGTCGTTCTTCTCGCCAGCGTTCTGGCTCTCAACGTAGAGCTGAGCACGAACAATGTTGTTGTACAGCTGCTGCTCGTCACTCAGGCGCTCAATATACTCGGCAGTGTGGGGGTCGATTTGCTGAAGGGAGCGGGTGAGCTCGTCATCCAGACGCTCGATATATGACACAATGCCGCCGGGAATGTAGAAAGTCTCGCCCTCGGTAATCTGGGGCTGCTTCTCATCATCCTCCCACTCATCAGCACCCTCGCTGACAACCAGGTTGCGGTTCTCCTCCAGGACAGAGAGCAGAGAGCCGAACTCCTTGTCGGCGGACTTCCATTGCTCGGGGCTCATGTAGTTGGCGGAAGAGGAGGTAAGGTCGAAGCGGGTAGAGATGAGGGTCAGGTAGACACGGATACGCTGGTAGGGAGTAGTAGCAACGGCCAGGAGCTTCTCCATGGTCTTGATCTGGTCGAGACGGTCGGTGTTCTTCTTTCCGCGGGACTCGACAATAACACGGAGGTGCTTAAGGATGCTCTCGGGGGTGTACTGCAGGGTCTTGCCACCACGGCCGACAGTAGTGAACTCGTCGTCCTCGGCGGCAGCGGCAGCAGCAGCGGCAGCAAAGTTCTCAATCTTCTCGACCTTGGTGGGCTTGGGGGCGGCGGGCAGGGGCTTCTCAACCTCCTCGTCGCTCTCCATGTACTCGTCCTTGTTGGCGCGGTACTTCTCGATCTGGGCGGCATAGTCCTTGTTGTTCTTCTTGATGCGCTGCTTGACGGCGTTGAATCCCTTCTGCTGGCTGGCGTTCATCTTCTTGTTGGCTGACTTCTGCTTGCTGACGGACTCGTTGACGAAGTCCTCGAGATCGGCGACGGCCTGGATGTAGACCTTGGGGACGGGGCCGGACTGGGTGATCTTGACGATCTGGCGGTTCAGGTTGTCGAACTCTGTAGTGTCGCATTGTTAGTTGCCGATTCTTTTGCATCCCACATTTGCCTCATATCCAGCGGGTTCCCGTAATATCTCCAGTTTCCCCGCCATTCCATCATACGATTCCGTAGGTATTCGACAAGTGACCTGAAAGAAAATTCAAGGGGACACCACTCACCAGTCGAGATGACAGACCAGTCGTTGATCTTTTCGGCATTTTCGATCAACTTGATAGTGTTCTCCAGACCCTCCAACCGCTTGTCCTTGGCACTCTTCACGACCGTCACTTTTTCTTCTTCTTCCTCCTCCTCGCTCTCGGATTCATCCTTCAAGAAAGCGGCGGCACCACCCTTGGCGGTGGCCTCGTCGTCGGAGTCGGATTCTTCAGAACCGGAGTCGGACTGGTCGGAGGACTCCTCGTCGCTCTCCTCCTCCTCCTCGGAACGCTCGTAGACATCCTCCTCCTCGTCCGAGGAGCTGGACTCGCTGTCGCTACCACCGCGGTAGAAGAATCGAGACATGGTTGCGGATGAGTTGAATCCGGTGCTGCAATGCAGGTTGTCCCTTCTCAAAAGTTGGAGTTGAATGGCGGGCGAGAGCCACACACGAAATTTAAGCGAGGGGCTGACTAAACCCGATTCGGACTAGCGCCATCACATCTCTTTGAACGCGTTGCTTTGTATTGGGGATTCTAGTTTGTTTTGACTTGACAGTATCACCCATTCATGCGTTTTGAGACTCATTTCAAAGGTTGTGTGGGATTTCATAACTATCTACTAATTTCACAAGGACTCAGTCGCGCAGAAACTCGGGAATCCACCTCCGGGACAAGGCAGATCCTATCGAGGGCCCGCCCCCCTGGTGACCAAGCAAAAGACACATGTATCCAACATACAAGAAGAAACTCACGCAGAAAAATGGCAAGTGGATCTCGAGATATCTCCTAATGCAAAGCCAAAAAAGGTGAATCAAAATTTACTAGACAAGCAACGGGGATGATATCGTTCTTTCATACTCCAGGCTATGCCGAAAGAAAAGAAGAGACATGAAGAAAAGAAAAACGAAATCTCATGAGACAGCAGCCGCTTATATAGAATAGCGACCACCCAGGACAGGTCAAAGAATACGGACGTCATTTGCAAAAAAAAGGGGATGGGTAAAAAGCACAAAAAGTAGCTCGACGGGAAAGAAGACTTGGATGAAGAGGCGATACAAGAGGAGGCCTCGAATAAGGGACAACAGCCACCATCCAGCCGTCAGGGTACACTCACGCTTATCAGTGAGTAACCGCGGGAATTTTGCGACACAAAGCTACGAAAAGCATGCATCGGGACTTTACCCCTCATAACCACAAGGGCTTATTTGCAGAACGGCCCCTGTCGATCCACGGCCTCATACCGGATGGAACCCGAAGGGGCTAAAAGTCAATCCCCAAGCTAGGCATGATGTAACTGACACCAAGGCACCGAGTATTCAGCTAAGCAAAATTGCACATCGGTAGAGCACAAGGAGGTTGAGGAAGGAGGGAGTAGCATGCAGGCTGAGCAAGGTTCCAGATGTCAACCAGACAGCACAAGACAATAACGGAGCGATCTTCCGGAGGAGAGACACGCACCAGGCGTGATGGCAACCCGACTGCAGGAATACCATGATCAGAAAACCAGAATACCAAAGCACCATAAGGGAAAGACAACCGTTCATGTGAAGTGCCCCAGCCCGAATGCTTTTCTCCGGATTGCTCTAGTGCCATTGATTCTGACCCATATAACCTTCGCCAAGGACCCCATCCTCAAGAGTGCGAATAAAGTCCCGGTTGCGTTGATTGCCGTTGCCTTGTCCAGCAGCACGGCTCCCCCGCCGCCGCTGGTTGGCATTGTTGGGGTCCACGTAGCCATCAGGCGGGGGAGGGTAGTACGCTGGACTGGGCTGCAAGCGAATCGGTGCATTGGGATCCAAATGGCTGGCAACACGCTGGATCGTGGTGGGGACGCCGCCTCCCTGGGGGTCCATCGTCGATGCACGTTGACGACCCGCTCGTGTTGTGGCCTGGGCATAGAGGCTC